GAGTGTTTTTTAATGCAAATGTCTCTATATTTGAGACTTTTTACTTCCCTCCCATTGAAATAGACAGAAAAAAGTCATTTTATGTTAAAATATTTTGAGCTGCAGTCTATGAGAACATTTTTAAAAAGTAGATGAAGACATATATACAAGACGTAGAAAGAAATCATGCCTGCAGTGGACAAGGGCTTATTTTGAGGCAAACAGTTTCTAAAAGCCTATTCAGAATTTTGTTTCCAGGCCAGTAAGATTAACCAAAACATATTTATATGTTCAAAGAAACCTAAAAATATCACAATAACACCTCCTTTTTTTTCTTTCGCTAGGCAAGTACTGAAACCAAAAGGTACTTTTACTGTTGTTCTTTCACAAACAAGTTTATCAACTTCTGTTTAGTTTATTCTCTTAAGCTGCATATATAACTTCTGAAGTTCAACTTAATGTGTGGCATTTCATTTTTTAAAAGATTTCTGAAAGTGCACACAAACCATTTGATAATCCAAAATGCTTCTTCCCAACCCTTCCCTTTACGATTGTCATGTGTAAACGTCAGGGGAATTATTGCTAAGTGTTCATGAAGAAAACAAAGGCAGCACAAAGCAGCAGAAAGGAAGAGCAAAAGGGTAGCGCAAGCAGTCGGGCACCATCAGGGAAGCAGGAGAACGTGCTCTCTACTCTGAGACACACCAGCAACTATACTTCAAAACCCTCTGTAAGGAGGGATTTGAAAAACCTTCCCTTCTTCCTTTTAGTTCTTCTAGTGATTGGGAGTCATTAAATCCAACTTTGACAATACAGTGTAGATATTTGCTCCTTTGAGTGAGCTGGTATGAGGAGGTACTCCAATCCCCACACACCCTTTTCAAACTCGCTACTTGAAACGCTCACTTTATCTATATTTCAGCGTAGAAAGTGAAAAACTACTTTGTTTTCAAGTCATTTGTTTTCCAGTACTTTCTAAGCTATAACACCCAGTAATCGAATCATCCGGGGGGAAGCTTCACTAATCTGCAGCAGGGAACAGCCCCTGCTTTCCCTCCGAACTGCTGCTCCCGCAAGGAATTCCTCCCACCCCAGCAGCTTTCCCTGCCAGCCGCCCGCCTGCCCTGCGCCCGGTGCCAACTCCTGTGCTACTATTTGAACTCAAACATTTGTGCCTGCCTCGAAGCACTGCAGCCTGTGACCACAGGAACCTCATTTTTCAAAATTAAAGGACAGAATAATAAAAGCAAACATTTGGCCTGTTTCCACAGATGACTGCAACAATATGAATTTTGAGTGAACTCAAAAATGTATTACTGTTAAGACATTAATTTTAAACCTACCTGGTGAATTTTTGAGAGTTTAAGAGCAGCTAGAGTATCACACAAGAAGTTCAACAGAAAGTTAAAGTATTCCCCCCACAATCACACAACCAGAAATGCTGAGAACAAGCTGTCCAGTAACACAGAAAGTAACTGTTCTCTTTTTTTTACTAATCTGTTCTGAGAAGCATCCCTCCTGCGGTCTTCCACAGAGTTAAATGGAAAAGGACAGAATGCAGCTAGCTGGTGGAGAGTTATCCCTTTCACACAGGGACCGCAAGCTCAGACAGAAATGAACAGAGAAAAAATAGCTTTAATTTTACTATGAAAAACAGTAAGTAAATTCCCATAGGTTTAGGTATGTGATTTCAGAATCTAAAGGTTTTGGGAAACAATCCCCATTGGTTTTCTGGCAAAATTAGCCTCCAAAATTCAGAGTCATAACAACTCATTGGCTGACTAAGTTAGGAGCCAGCTGTCTGCACCACCAGATTAGCAAGACAGAGTCATTTTGACAAATCAAATCGCCCAAGAAATAGTCTGAACTAATTCATCTTCAGCAGCAGACAGACCACACTACAAAAGTGTCAAAGTGAAACATTTCAAGTAATAAAAACCTCTACAGAAGCTTGCAGAATAGGAATTAAAGTTTTAGAAGGCTGACATCGAGTGAATGTATCAATGTTTATCCATAAACAAAATTAGGAAAGTTGTTGAAGAGCTAACACTGGGTAGGCTGATGGAAGTACAAAAGCAGCCAGTACCATACAAAAATTTATCCGTCATGATTTAGTTAAGACAGTGTTTAATCGAAGTGCATAAAATGCTAGAATGGAACAGAAAATGTCAAGACAAGGTATTATTTTCTCTCAGTATGTGAAAAGAATAGGAAGAATCCAAAGGAAGTTAAGACAAATAGAAGACAAAACACACAGAGATGACCTTTATAAGTTGATAAAAAAACAGGGATCTATGGAAGAACCAGATCAAATGTCAAAGAGAGAAGAGTGTAAGGGAAGTTATTTAATAGATATATCTGCTTTGAAAATTATGTACGATCTAGAAGTCTGAAAGTCTGTTCATGTTTTCCCAAAACAGTTTATTTAGAAGTTGCCTTTCAAGTTAAAACTAATGTTTGTGAAAGCTCACTCTCTCTCTGACTGCTGATGCCCTAAAAAACAATGGTCATTCATAACAGAAAAAATTTTCTTTTAAAAAAGAAAAGTCTATACTCTGCTATTACACTTCGACTCACTGAAGGCTCTCAGTATTTAGTATCCTGGTGTCTGTCCTGATGACAGAGATATAGCTTTGTTGTTCACTTTGTGGACAATCTTTAGAGATGGTAGGAAGTTCTGGTAAGTTTCAGAATTTCCATGTAACAACAAAATAACATTTCATTAACATCATTACTCTAACTGTGATATTTAAAAATTAAACAAATGGGAGAGAGTTGTAGTATCAAAAAGTTCAGTTGCATAATGAAAGACAATCACATTATAGAAATTACAATCGAAATTTATTGAGACCCCAATTTCCTTTTGTTATCAACATGCTTCAGTTTCGGTACAATACTATGCTTGGGATGCTTTGCTTTAACTTTGCACCTTAAAATTTACATTAATAGACATATATTATCGTATCCTGCTGTAAGTTCAGATTCATGATTTAGCAGTATATGGAGAACACCATAAGCCTTTCTGCACCAGCAGCTAATACCTGCTCTGCTTATCCCTTCAATCACATCACTTCCTTTCAATGCTCCCAAATATTTGACAGAGATTTATTCAACACTTAATTGTGAAAAGAAATGCCATGCCCTTTAAAAAAACACATTAAAACACCATCCTGCACAATTACCATAAGGATTAATGAGTAAAATGTAGCAAGTTTACTAACAAAGTTATTCACAAATAGTAGGAAAGACAAGAAACCAATAGCAACTCCCTTTATTTGATTCTAATTCAGGAAATACCTCTACTCAGCAAGGCACACAAGTTCATGAATAAATCCCACTAAACTCAATTAAATTTAGGCAAATAAGCTTAAATTCTTTCCTGATGCATCCTTCTGATAGCAGACTGCTCAAAGGTCTCTAAGTTAGGCGGAAACTGGGACAGAAGGCAACAAGCTGTTTCATAGCTCTTACAAACAAATGAGTTCAAACAGTCCTTTGTTTCAGCAAAGCACTTGAACAAGTGCTTAGGTTCCACTGACTCCACTTGAGGTGAAGCTCACATTTACATGAATTATTCCATCAAGGCCAGCATGAATACTAAAGAATCATACTCACTCATGTCTCTCATAGCCGAGGGTCTCTCGGATAGACCATGCAACCTGGTACGGGGAGGTTTGCTCTGAATCCTCCAACTCTTCTCCACTGTCTTCAGACCAATCCAGCCCTAAGGGAATTGAAAACGTGAAAGCTGGATGAAAAGTATATCCACCTCATATAAGTCTCTGAGCAACCTATGGCACAAAAGATGAATGTGTAGTATAGTCACAAGCATAATTCTGTCTAATTTCATCATATAATATTCTCAACTACACAGGAAAAGTTACAGTGTGCAAATCGCATGCACTGATTTTTGTCAAATTTGAGTTTTCCTTTTAAAATCCTTATCGGGTTTTTTACCCATAAGCACTGGAAGAAAAATCACCAGCTTTCTTACCCACAGGAAAATATCACAAGCTTTCATACCAAGCACATGGAATCTTTAGAGACAAGGTAAGAGAGAAGTCCCTGCCACGAAGAACTGACTGCCTGGCAATTTTTAATACTGTATGATCTAAATAGGCCACTTTCATTTCTGTTTATATTCTGACTCCTGCTCTGTGCCAAAACAGAGGAGAATAGGAAAACCGTAAGACGGAGCAGCATGGACAGAGATAGATACACAGCTACACAGGATCTTCCTCTGCTCAGTCTCTGCCTGCCAAATGCATACATTAGCATGAAAAGAGAGCTAAAGAGAGAGATGCAAGTACTCCTGCACTTTCACTAAGCAGCATGCTTTCGCTTAATGATGATGCAGTAGGATCAACTTATTGTAATGCACCAGCAGCCTCAGTTAGTCAAGCTAAACACAATCGTTGAACAGGACAGCCAGAAACTGAGTCCAGTAAGTTCTCAGGTGGAACATTTTATCTGGAGCTCCATCTTTTGCAGTTTTTCCTTCTCTCTCCCACATCCAGTGGAACTCTTGCCAATTCCTTGCACCAGGTGGGATAATATCCCATAGCTGCATTTACAAGCCAGCATTATTACTTTTTCATTTTCTTGTGTGCTCCTTGAAAATGGAGCAGCAGTTGGGATAGAGTTAAGGAGCACTTTATTTCTGCTAAAACTAAACTAAACGACTATATCTGAGATTATTCTGAAGTCAGATGCTTTGAATTTGGGAAATGCATCAGTACTTGGTCACCTACTTTCAGAGTTAGACACACACACACACTTGGAATACAATTGCCAGGAGCGCCTTCATCATTTAGAAGCAACACCTTTAACATAAACCAAAAATATCAGAAACCCTATTTTTCAGGAACTTCAGCATCCTGAAAATTCTATTCTTCGTTCCCGTTTTTAAAATATGCATTTGAACTAAATTAAGATATCTTAAGACATTTGATAAAATGCCAGAATTATATTTTCAACTTAAATGTTTTTTTACTCTCACCCTTCCATAAAGGAATCCAACTTAATCATTGGATAAAGATGTCCACGGTTGATACCATGTAACAAATTATTTACCCAAAGTTTAAAAATAAAATCAGAAGTTGTGTTGTTTTGTTTCTAATGAAACAGAAATGAAGGAATAAAATATAATCCAGATTCAGCTATACTCACACTGAAGACTGCAGTTACATCAATATCCAATTACATGGCTCTGATGTAGGTACACATAAAACTGGCTGCACCTTTTTAAAGATTCTGTGCAGTCATCTCTAGAGCTACTCTATCATAAAAAAGAAATCCTGAAATTCTCTGAACCGGCATAACTAGTCTTTAATATTAAGGCATATTATGAATAAGAAACAAATATATTTTCCACTCTCACATAATGAATATGTGAATTCCGTTACTTTGCGAAATATAAAATGTTCTAATTGCATATACATACAGTTATGCATCTGCATAACTGTATGCATCTGCATAACTGTACATTTATAGGTCTAATAAGTTTTTTTACTATGCTTTTTTTAGGAAAATGTATTCTCTTCACCACTTGAGAATGTAAAACATTAAACAGAGAAAGTGATCTTTCTACAGTCTTTGAAATGCAGGTCACTTTCTAAGCTATTGGGGTCTGTGACACTCAGAAGTACCTCTGGAGTTGCCATTCCTCAAAAGACCTGCATTATATGTACGACCATCAAAGCGGTTTTCTGAAGAACAACGTCCTTTGGAAACATGCTATGGGATGCTAATTATCTTCTGAACAAATAGTCAAGCTATCCCATGAGAGCCAAAGGGCAGATTTTAACAGCAAATTAAAAAAAGGTTAATTGAAATAGCAAAAATTACAGATGTTTGCAATTAAATAAGATGTTATATGAAGAATGTCCAGATTTATTTGAAGTCTTTTTTTTTTTTTTAAACATCATAAATGGCATTCAAATATCACACACTGACTCCTGTTTCCCTTTTCTCTGTCAGTATTTCACTTGTTAGAAAAGTACAATCTAAAACTAAGTGGAAAAGTAAGGTAACTTTGGAGGGTGAAGGAGACAACAAGGCCAGCTAGGCCTGTATTCATAATAATAATAATTCATACCTAGATCTGTATTCATAATCAGACAAATAAACCACAAAGCCAGCTGCCTTTTTAAAGCTTTATAGAGCACTACTGCCATAGCAGCAAGTTGGTTATATTTACTTACATTTTCAGAAGCAGCAGTTGATTATTACAGTTTCTATATAATAAGTAAGGAGACTATTCCTGCACTGGTATGTGGACAAGACTCTATCCTCCAATTACCTTCTGCAACGGTGCTGCCCTCCTGCAGTAATCTTTTGCTTTTTTTCATTCACATTCTGTATGACCCCAGAATAGGCCCAGTGAAGAAAAATTCTCTTATGTTCCAATTTTCCCAGTCAAGTCAACTGGAAATTTGGATCTGCACAGAAAAATGGGCCAAATCTCCAAACTTCTACTTGCACTTGTCACATGATTATAATGTGCACTTGTCACATATTTAATGTTCAATCTAACCTTGTCCATTCATGTAGGTAGGTACAGCTGTGCCACCTTTACTACTTAAGTTGCAAACCTTCTGTATGATGTCTGTATCATCCAAGCAATGCTTTATACACCTCAGTTTGATTTCTCAAATGGTTAACAGGACCTTAAGAAGAATAAATAACCAAAATGCCATAAACCATATGCGATGGGTTCTTCATAGAGAACAGGGCTAAAGAAAACACCAAGAGATTACCTAGTTCAGGGTTATTTTGTAAGGACCACACATGAATGCAGGACAGGGCTAGGAAGACATTCCTCTTTTGTCTTTTGGTTTCAGGTTAAAAAATATGCAGGCAGTGCATCTACTATCTACCCACCTAAATGTGGAAACAGATCAGTGTCCAGCTGCTGTTTTCGAGTGCACAGTTTCACCAGTCTCTGTAGCCGGCTCATGCAGGACGAGTGCGGAGAAAAGGCTGTGGCTTTCATGAGGACCCGATCAGTCCTTGGAGGGTCCGTGACAGGAGCCCTAGCGGGTGGCAGGAGAGGCAGAGGTCTCTTGTTAGACAACTGCCGGGCTTGTGCTATAGTGTGTGTGGTGGGTGCCACTCCCTGCATTGGTAGGCTGGTGTTCGGAGGTTGAGGTGACTTGCAGACTACGCCCTGCGGTAGCCCTGTCGGCTTTAACGAAGCTGATGAAGGTGGCAGATGGGAGTGCTGCTGCTGCAGAGGCTGCTGCTGCAAAGGTGCAGGAAGGGGGCTAAAGTGCTCTTGGCGAACTTTTAAAATCTCTGTCTCTCTCTGGCGCTGCCTGTTTTGAGCCAACTTGCTCTGCAACTTTTTCCTCACTGTTGCCCCTTTCTTTAGGTCATCATCCTCCTCGTTGAAAGCAAAGGGGTCTTCTAATTCTGCCTCCAGGTAATGGAGAGGAAGCCTAGCCCCTGGAGGGGAGAGGGACATCCCATCCAGTCCATTGGGCATCTTCAAGGCCAGGGTGGGCACTGTCAGACTGAAGGCCATAGCATCCATCTGATGCCTGACCTTTACCTCCTCTATGGGATCATTCTTTTTCTTCCTCTCCTTTTTCGGTATAAAGCCAAGTACCTGCAGGTGGCTGTTGCAGTACCTTTGAAAAGTAAAAGCAGTCAGTTATTAACTCAACTCTTGTAAGTAAAGTTTGAAGAAAACAGACATCACTATAGGGAAATCCACACACACCCATCTCATGCAAATTTAGATTGAAACACAAGAGGTTTTATAAGAAGTGTACACAACTGCTTCTAATACAACAGATAACTGTGGTGTTCCCAACCTGTAACAGAAAACAAAAACTTACACAAGTGACAATTTGTAATCTTAAGATATAAAAGTCTTCAGTCATTATTCATAGGAGATTCACACACCACCATTCAAAATATTTACTCTCTAACAGGGTAAATACTCACAAAACAAAGCCAACAAAACAAATGGACTGTCTGATACATAAAACAGTAAGAACTCAAGCCATTAATGCTGGTAATTTCAAAAGCTCCCAAGAAAAAGTACATTGAAGACTACTTCCTTTCATTCAGCTCTTCCTTCACTGGAAGTAGTTAACATTTTCATCAACGCACACATTATTGCCATGAATTCCACTGTAGTAGGGAGCAGTTTCTTATATGGACAATCTCACTAAAGATCCCTGCTGAGAACGGTCACTATTTGCACTTAATGAACAAGTAGCGTAAATATTTAAGTTCTGAATTAGGAGTTTAACATGATGCATTTTGTAGCGAGAGGATTAGCTGTATCTTCTTCAAACAAAAATCTAGTTGAAAAGAAATTCTCTGCTGCAAGAAAATGTTTACACAATGCCAGGAATATGTATACATACAATCCACAAACATGGACTTTAAGCTCTTCTAATATACAAAAGCTTTTAAAGTCACGTTATTAAAAAAAAAAGGAAAAAAAAGGAAAAAATGTCTTTGAAAGTTTGTCATGAAAATTAAAAGGACAAGAGTTAGAATTTATGGCCACAGATAACATACTAAGAAGTAAACAATTAATTTTCGTCTGATTAAAACAAGCAGGTGATAGGAATGTAGGAACCATGATCTGATCCTTTTCCTGTTTCACACAGGCAGGCCCTCCTGCCTCCGTAGAATGCCACCAGCAATCAGACTTCTGCCCTTGCAGGATCCCATCTATAACCTGCAGCTTATAGATGAAAACAAAAATATGAGGAAAAGGTGATGTCTACATCAAGGTATTAATGAACAAGCTAAGGACAAGATAAGGAAATATACCATGAAGGTATAGAATCTGATCAGTATGAATCTGAGAAAAGTAAGTGTTGTTGAACAAATAGGTTAAAATGAAATTATTCCTGGCCTTCATGGAGAAAAAATAACAGAAAAGCCCAAACCAAACCCCCAAAAAAGTTTAACACTTCAGTTCAGTGACTTTCAACTTGCTGTTCCACCCCTAAAGAAGCAATGTGTGAACTGCTTCTAAAGGGTCCATAAAAGGTAAAAAAGAAAAAGCAAATTAATATATGTTCCTTAACAACCTCCATACACGCAGTTTCTCGAGGGATCCACACCCATAAGGATTCACAAACCAGAAAAGGCTGAAAAGTACTGCTACTCATTATTTTCTAAATAATTTCTTTGTTACGTTAAGTTGTAAGTAATAAATAAATCTAAATGAGGCAAGCTGGAAGCCAGCAACGTGTGGAGTCCTTATTAGAATACACTGGAATACCATAAATTCATACTGAAAGATGCACTTCTAAAAATAAAATTATATAATGAGGTCTCAATAAAGCTTCCCTTCAAGTCAACAGCACTATTCCCATAGTTAAAATTAAGCACTTTTAAAATATTTTGTTTGAACAAGACTGATGAGTTAGAACAGCACTTTTAGTATGACAGAAGAAAAAACAATGAACAGACAAGACAAACAAAATGGATTTTTTTTCCCCTCTTATTCCAATAAAAAGAGAGTTTTGCTCAATGTGAATGCTTCCTTCATATTGTTCAGAACTTAAATATTGCCACTTTGTGCTTGTGCAGGCGCGAGGAGGTAAAACTGGCTAGTCTGTTTTCATTGTGAAAACCAAAGAGAAAACAAAAAATAGAAAATGTGAATAAACCTGTGAAAACATAATTAGCTTGCTAACATTCTCTGAGTTTTAGGCTATTAAGGGGTTTGCTTGTTCGTTTTAACTCTAATAGCATCATTTTTATATGGCAGAGAATAAAGCTTTGGCTTTATTGGCTACTGCATCACTGAAAGCCAACAATATCTTACACAGGCATCACCTCTAGACACAAACCCATAGATGACAGGCTACAACATAATGAAAATATGGATCACATGCACTCGCAGACTCCAGTACACATTGACTTGGCTCTGTGCTTTATGCTCTATAAACTCTCTGTCTTCCAGCATAACCGAGGCTAATACACCTTGCCCGCTGGACTAAAAGGAGCAAGAAGAAGCTGGGAAGAACACTTAAGTCTTCTCTGGATAGAGAAGACTACACGCAGGCAGTTTTGGCTAGGCATAGTTTATTAGCACAACTCAACCTTGACCTTATCAGGCTCTAGCTGGTCCCATGCAGAGCTGGGCAGGCACGCACACCCACTTCCCCGTCCTTCAGGTTCCAGGATGGCATTTTAGTTGGCCCTGGCCCAAACTGGCTCTGACTTTACACAGTGCTGCAGAGACTGGTGCAGACATTAACTGACTCTGCTGGAACCAGTCTATAACCAGCTGAGTTAAGGCAATAAACTCTTTGGATCAGATGTAATGCCAGGAAAGGCGTTAGTAGTTCATGCTCCATGGAAGACAGATTGCTGGGAAGACTGGAATAGCACCTGCAAGTAGCACAGTCCATTTCACATTGCTCTGAGCATGAAACCCATTAGGGTCAAGCTGGCCCTACAAGAGCCAATCCCGATGTGCCTGTCTTAGTGGCACAATTTGTCACTTCTATAACCCGTCTGTGAGTTATTCTCAGCTGACAGTATCACATTGAGTATCTAATATAGTTTTTTCCCCCCTTCTTTACTCAGTGCCAAAGGCACTTATTCTCTGCAGGTGAGTTTGAATGCCATCAGCACATATGGTAAAAGCAGTGGGTTGATATCCATTAAAACTATCATAACATGAAGCACACAAAAGATGACGGGCTCTAAAGGCTTCAGCTGGACAGTTTCCCACATCACTGGGAGGGCAAGAATCAAGACAGTGAGGTTTTCCACCTACAACTGCATTCTGCTTCCCAGTACATCCCAGACTGGTATCAAGTTCTGACACTTATTTAAAGGAAGATCCAAATAAACTGGAGAGCATCTTGCACATTAACAAAATATTTAAAGATTCTCTTGAAATAGGAGAACTAGAGATAAAATGGTGTTTAACCCAGCTAAATTGTAATAACCCTATACTTAAAAATTAAGTTGAACTTCATTATCTATGTGTGTATTTGGATAAGAAAGAATTAGGAGACATGTATTCAGAGGAAATACAAATACAGAACCCATGTCTGTATCATCCCGTATATATTCTTTAAAAAAACAAGATAGTGAATAGAGAAACTAGACTTCAAATAAGGCTATGAAGTCATGCACTATTAATAGATTTAATTTGTAGAATGTTAATGGTTAATAAGAAATCTAATAATATAGCAGCATATTAAATATCTTTGTGCCTGGTAGCATCTCATTTGTCTGGGGTCAAGTGATAATTTTTTTTAATTATCTGTGGTCAGACTATGAAGCTTTTGGCATACAATGCATGTATCCTGGTAAGACATTTTATTTTTTACAATCTTTAAAAGTGTATAAGAAGATAGCTGTCAGAGCATCATACAGCCTGCTTCTGATCATGTACAGTTACGTGTCCAAAACTGTGACAAAATGACCATCTGACAGTAATTTTGTACACAGAAAATTAAAAGCTATGAGTGAAGAACTCAGACATAGCAAACATCTTTATATCGAACGGAGTGTGAAAAAAGTCTTCTAAGAAACAGATACAGGTTTGCCTGCCAAAAAAAAAGTAGTTTAGAGCAGGCACCCTTATCACTAGCATTCATTAAATTTTATTGTTAAAATTAAACTCTGCCCTGAGAAGCAGTCTTTTAAAATATTCTTTCAAACTATCACATCCTCTCATTTGAAATTAAAAGTTTATTTTCTCCTTCAGACACCTGCTGTCCTCTTCAAGTAGTGTAATGTGACACTCGACATGCAACCGAATTATTCTAATATAACATACACCAGATGTCATGACCACACTTCACTTTAACTTGAGAAAAATCAAAAAGAACAAAGTGTGAACTCAATTCAAGGTGTAAAGAAAAATCTCAAATTCCATGGGAACATATGAGACCTAAAAAAGTGTCATTAAGTACTATTATTTCTATTGTTTTTAAGTATGACCCCTGGTAAACAGCAACTCTGGCTCAGTCAGCTCTTGCATCTGAAATTACAGCATACCATTTGCGCTAACAACTTCCATGATCATTTCTGCGAGCTTATTTCCAAAGAGCCTCAATTGTACAGTAGCAAAGAAACAGTCACTGACTGTCAAATTACAGCTTAAAGTTATTCATCTTGTGCCATTTGAGCATTTGCCCTACAGCTTTTGACAAACATTCATGTTTTTTTCTCACATCATCAGTCTCCTCAACTGAAATGGCAGGTGAAGTGCAAGTTAATTTAGAGCACAGTCCAACTGTTGTTTCAGACAAGAGAGGGAGCTGTGAGCTGAGAAGGAAGTTATATGTAGGGCACAGTGGGAACACTGCTAATAATGCAAAAGGTTAGTGAATGGCAGCTAATAATGTGAAAGGTCAGTGAATAGTGGTTTGATTATTTTTTTGGCATATTTTGTTTATATTTTAGGTTAAAAATCATTTCTAACAGAACAAGCCTCACATAGTTAACACACACATTAATTAAATACTGTGTTACTGGCAAAACCTGCAACAATGACTCTGAAAAATTAAAGTCATATATACCCGGCAGCCAAGATCAGACAAATTCTGCTATTTCAGCCCAAGCAACACCAATCAGACTGGTGTTCAGGAAGTCTTAAAAAGCAAGGAAGAATGTCTTTTTGGTTACAGTATGGGCTGCAATTCAGGAAAACTGGTTTGAATTCCCAGCTCTCCAACAACTTCAAGCACCTTCTCTTGCAAGGCATTCAATACCTGGGCACTTTGGGCATCTTCATTTGGGCAGGGAGGGGGAGAGGAAGGGGGGAAGCAAAGAAGAAAGGGAGTGGACAGCACGTTCCCAGCTGGCTCATCTGTTATCAAGTAATATTTATTTTATTCCAGTAATACAACACTACAGATCAGTACCAAATCACAAACACTGAATTGTGATTCTGGATTTGTCCCTATGTGCCACTGCTCCCTAAGCCCAGAAGGTATGCATTTTCAACTGTTTGTCCTGAAAAAGTAGATGGAAGTGTACTTTTGGCACAGCTGGCCAAACAAGCAGGCCTTTTTAAGAGCATGTACTATGAGTGACAAAGCAAATTAATTAGAACAGCAGGTATTGTGTAGCAGGTTTGATCCACACTTTATAGTGAATTTGAGAAAAGCAATGAACTCTCCCAAAAACTTCCTTGGGACTAAGTTACTGCTCACTTTCTGAGTACTTGACTCCCACAGAAAATAAAATAAAGTTTACTGGTCTTAAAACAAAACCCTCAAAGGAACCTCCTGGAATTCAATCCACTCAGGCCAGTTCCTCCCCCACTTTGAAACCAGGCAGCATCTTAAAAGCAAACTCAAGCCTATGTCCCTGCCACTTCCCACTTTGCAGACAGGTAACCACAACTCACCTACGGTCCTCAGATTTGGGGATGGGGTTGGTGCAGCGTTGGCTGTTATACTTGGCCACATATTCACATTGCTTGAAGGGGGCAGTCTTGTCCTCCAGAACGTGTCTGATACAGAAGGCGTAGCCGTTAAGTCGCCTCTGCTTGCACAGTTTGGGGCTATATGAGCACAAGGGCTTATTGTCAACCTCAGAGAAGTGTATGTGTTTGCCTTCATACATCACGTGACTCTATTCCTTGTGAACATCAGCTGAAAGAACCAAAATATTAAGACAAATCACGTAAGGAAAAAAAATGCATTCATTTCTAGATTGTGTGTTTCATTTTGGCAGGAAAGAGGGACCCAGAACAATACCTGATTTTAAATCTTCTGTACCATATCAATGTTAAGAGAGAGCCCCAAGGACACCACTATCCTGGAATGATGATGAATCAAGATGAAGCAGATTGTCTAAGGAAAATATCAAAAAGGTCAAAGTCAGTCAGAATAAAATAGATATTATTACTGCTTAATAAATAAGTGGCCAGATGTAGCCACTAAACCTGTGGTTCAGCTAGCATCCAATAAGCCAAATCCACTAGCACAACAGTTTTCAATCAGTAATCACAGATCTTTGGAAACCGTGAAATGAAATTATTGGGGGAAAAAAAATTCTATTGCCACCACACTTAAACCTGTTCAACAAAACTCCACTCATCTACCAGAAAGTGATTAGGAGCTACAAGTTGAAAAAGGTTAAGCATCACATTAGATCATTTGCTTTCAGGAATCAAGTTGAATGATGATTAACCCATTTGATTGCAGAGGTTTTACTTCAAGTATCTTTGCTTACAAAAACGCTGGCGACTATCCTTGCTCTGCAAAATTTTAATTACATCAGGCAGTACAAGAAAGCTTTTATTTTTTTTAAAAAAGGTTGCTTTACCACACCTGATAAACAGTCTTCAGATCTTGTAGCTGCTCACAGCTTCTGCAAGCATCAATATGCAGTCATTCCTGAGGTCATTATGGTTCTTCAGAGCTTCTCCTACCTTATTGTACTTATTTTAGGTAAATGTGGGCATTAATAATGTCAGAGGCAGTATCCTATCAATGCCAGGAGGGCTGAAATGTCACGAGGCTGGGATTTTTTCCCCCTAAAATAGACTCCTACAGTGCAACAAAATAACAAATCCATGCAATCATAAGGCACTTTTTCATTTCCTAACACTATGGAGTCTTTGGCAATCATCTTTAAAAAAACAAACAAACAAAAAAAACCCCACCCCAAAGCAGCTTCAAACAAAATTAACAGTACATATATTCTGCAGCTACTCTGCTACACCCAGCTTAGCCTGCAAAAGGCAGCTTTTATTCAGAAAGGCCATCCTGAAGCACTGGAATAAACTCTTTTGAACATGGTATATTCAGTACTCAGTTCAATTTCATATGTGTTATATACCAAGCAAAGGAATGTATGTAGAGGTGATATTCAGGAAATACGTAATAAATTAGAGGCACATGAGAAATGTACAGATTACCACCTCAATCAACTTGTTCCCGAGGCCCAAAACAGCAAGACCACGATTGCAAGGAGGGGGCCTACACAGACTTTGCAGGAAAGATGCAGTTTCCTCTTGTGAAGGTACAAGCCTTCACTTCCCACTGTATAAAAGAACCTTGAGAAAATGACAAGCACTATGGCATTGGGGGATCTAGAAAAGCAACTTTAAGTCACTAGGACAAAACGAAACACCCCATCACACCTCTAACAGTAAACTGCATAAACCAGGCCTTTCATTAGCATATATCTAGCTGTAGAAGCAGAAGGACAGAAGACTACTAAAAATTTAAAAACACACTTAAAATTCTTGACACAGTGGTATATGCACATGTGCAGCATACACAGCATACAGAATGGAGACACGCGCTACAAAATGTAACTAGCACAAGTGCAAGCGACCTGATTAATCATTTGACAATAATAAGGATCGTTTCCTATTTCCTCTTTACATAGTATTTCCTCTTAACACATAGTTCCCTTTCCATGCACACATGCAAGCACACACACCCAGGGGCAGGGGCCTCACGCTTTGTTTACGCCAGATAGCCACAACACAAGCACAGGCATCTAATCCAGTTCCAGTCACCTTTCCCAACTTCCCTCAATGCATGGAAGCACGTGACAGTACAGAGCACATACTATATATATTTGAAACTACTCATTGGAGTATGACCCTTCACAACGCATCAGTCCCAAGAACAGAAAAGTTCATTGTTGGCTGTGCCCTTCAAAAACACAGAATGGGAAGAGGGAACTATCTCTTTAGCATGCTGAGAACCAAATAACCCTTTCAGACACCTTTGTTAAGGCAGATACTGACATACACTGCAGTATTATCCAGCAACAACGTGAAAGAAAAAAAAAAAATATGGGAATTGTGACCTGGGTTTGGGTACCATATGTTTGAGAGACAGCCTCTTCCATTGCTATGGCAGAAAAAGGAATCAAACAAGTCTTAACTAATTGCATCTCATACACAGAATTAAGCTGACAGAAAGCCTTTTGCTCTGGAGTTTGCTTCTCTCGACAGTTAACCAGAGCTCATATTTTGTGGCATACTAGACAGGATGAAAAACTTGAAAGAACAAGTGCATCTTGCAGTTGGGTGACTCTATGCTGCTATTTCTTTCTGGTTTATTTACCACCTTCTTTTAAGCTACTACTATCATGCTTTGCAGAGTTTTTGACGGATCAATGACTTTCTCCTCTTTTGCACAACCCAGCAACATTTCTCTTCTGAAGGTTATCAAGCAACAGACCAAAGAAAAAGAGTTCCTCAGAACGGTTCCAAAGTAAACAGCAAGAAATGCATAGCTGGTGTGCCTCCGTTAAGCTTCTGTAAAGAAACTGCTCTGCAGTTCCCAGCCACTATAATCCTGGATTTATTCTTGTGCCCCCAGTCTTATTTTTGGATTTAACTCATAATTAAGTCTCATTTTTGCATTTAACTTGACTGTGTCAAGGCAGGCATAGTATTTCACTTCTCACTTGTCTGAAAGATACAGGGCACAAGTACAATGCCATATGAAACATTTAAGCAAAAATACTGACAATAATCCTCAGGGAAACCAATGAGCTTGAACATGAATTCTTGGGTCTACATATACACTAAGAGAAGTTCATGCAAATATAACCATGTTAAAAATCCTGATAGGAATCAATTAGTGCAACTACAGCGTAATGAACAAAAAGCAAGCTAATATACCTAGCAGCCAACGTTCTACAAAAAAAACCCCTACAGCAACTCTCTCAAACTTGCAATTATATCTTTATTGGTAGATTCCTACACAGACTCCCTGAAAGACAGTGGCACTATGTGGATACACTGCCAGGATCAGAGACTGGAGTTTTACTTAATCTAAAAAGAGACTTTTCTTTTTACTTCCATAGCATACTCTATACACACACACACATATACATATATATAAAAATAACAAACTTTTAAATCTATTGATTCTGATTTAGTCTGACGCAGTATTTTATTTTGAACAAAATATAAGGAGTTTTTAACAGAGCTTTTTGCTGCTACATAAAAAGTAGCACAAGCATGGAATAGGCACATGTCGCTTAACTGAAGAGAAATGAAACTACACTTAGCTAAATAGTGGGTGGGGGAGAAATTATTTTTGTCCCACAGGATTCAGTAAGAGATGACGGAAACATGGACTTCCCCTGGAAAAATCAAATGCTTAAGCAGCTGTACTTCACTGCAAAAATATCAGGGTACAAAACTTTCTGGAAGCTGTTTTGAGTTTTGCATTTGTACACTACACTGAAGCTGTAGCAACATTCAACAGAAACATAATTTATGCCTGCATATGCTCAAACTGGCTTTAGCCACAACCCATGAATGAGAAACCAGAGGCTGCTTCTTGAGGAACCTAGATTTTCCTTAAATAACTGCTTCTAAATAAAAGATTTTGAGCTAGTCAGAAGCAACGGGGCAAAGAACAGAAGAGAACCCAAAAATGCGCGTCATTGCCAAATGACGTAAGACATGACTGAGGTTTAAAAAATGACAGTAGGGGATAGGGTGAATATAGAATGGTTGTACACCATATCACACAATATTGGAACTAGGGGTACTTGATGAAGCTAGTAAGTGATTGACTCAAAATATATTAAAGAAGTACTTCTTCATTTTTACTACTCACGGGTAGTGAACTGCTGGAACTTGCTGTCACAGGAAGCTCTGGAAACAGACAGTATCATCAAGTTCAAAAATACGATAGAAAAGTTCATAGACAATGGGGACATAAGTGATGTGCCTGCTAGCATGCCTAATTTAACAAATATGGATGTTGGAGGAGTAAGAGAAGAAAACGCTAAAAAGTGGCTGGGCTCTTCCTAAATAGCATCACTTACTCCTACTGCCCAAGACAGAACACTAGGTTGGATCAACCCCTGATCTGACCCAACAGGGTATTTCTTATGTTCTTATGAGGTCACCGCTAACATTTGTAATTTGGTAACACATTCATTCCTCCCCTTCTCCCATTTTTTATTCCTGAGCACTTGACTGGAAGAAAATCTGCTCCCTCTGGCAAAAGCCCTATCTGGACACGTGAGGAGCAACAAACTTAGTATCCCAGCAAGGCTTTATAGGAAGGACAGGCAGGACACAGAGCAAAGCCACGCTCTGCGACACCATCACTTAGAGCAGAGTTACCCATCCTGCTGAGTGCAGCCATAGTGGTCCGTAAGACAACAGAAGGTGGTTGGTTGTGAACAGAGAAGGACTTGTGGGTGATGTGACAGTTGGAGGCTGTCTTGGGTATGGCAATCACAAAATGATATAGTTTTCGATTCTTGGAGCAGTAAGGAGGGTGGTCAGCAGAACTGCTGCCTTGGACTTCCAGAGGGGAGACTTTGGCCTGTTTAGGAGCCTGGTTAACAGAGTCCCTTGGGAGGCAGTCCTGAAGGGCAAAGGAGTCCAGGACAGCTGGACATTCTTCAAGAAGGAAATCTTAAAGGTGCAGGAGCAGGCCATCCCCATGTGCCAAAAAACGAGCTGGCGGGGAAGACCAGCCTGGCTGAACAGAGAG